AGCGTTACTATAGTCTCATCTTAAGTGATTCAAGTTTACTACTACCACTACAACAACAACTACTACTACCATTACTACTACTACTATCACTATTACTACTTTTACTACTACTACTACCATTACTACTACTACTACTACCATCACTACTACTATTACTACCACTACTATTACTACTACTACTACTATTGTTGCCACTACTACTATATGTAATAAAACATCAAATAATGAGTATCTAATACAAAAAGAAATTTAGCTAATATTGATATTATACTATACTGAAAAAAACTTATTAAAGTTTGTTTGTTTATCTTTTGCATTTGTTTCTAGAATAAACAAATATTGGCATCAACAGAAAATATTCAATTCATCAATTCGTTTTTACAGTTTTACTTTGCTTTTTTTTAGACAAAACACCCTTATTCTATCTTAGACATGAAATACGTTTGACCAATAAAAACTAAATGTACTTTTACTATATGTGAAAATTAAATTTGAAATAATTTTAACGATTGAAATGTAAACTAATTCCAACGTTTCGTCCAGCAAACTTGTCTGGGCTTCTTCAGGGAAATCATCAAAATCATCAAGGAAATATATATATATATATATATAGCATTTTAACAATCAAATTAGATCAAATCTATACTATGCTAATCCAATCATATTTAGATGTTGATTTTGACTGAAATTAATGTGAGTTATTTCTAGCATTACAATTATGCTAATTGAGCGACACGTTCACCATTGTCACCAGTGAGTTTTTATCTCACAACTGATCTTAAAATGTTTAAACCTCTGACTAAAACTCGGACCTTGACCTTTGAAACTAGCATCATCATTTGCGGGTCCTCAAGAAGACTTAGAAATTTTTAACATATAAATTTACATTTCATTGAATGAAATTGTAATAAACTCTCTACGCTTTCATTATCTTTACAGTTATGGTGGTTTAATTTGTTGAGGTTATACCGAACATGCATTGTAATTCTTTGAAATCATCATACCAGCTTTTTTAATCATGTTTCAAAGTATTATACTTGATAAAGAATGTAACGTGTATAAATATAACGTTTACAATCACTGTATCTTTCATTAATTAATTATCAAAGTTAACAATGTGATATCTAAATAATTTCTTACTTTTTGTTTTAATGTTCAAGACTGTATGTATGTGAAGTATTTTACTAGGCCATGAATGGAAACCTAGAATCACTGGATGACCGTTTCGTCCCAGTATGGTGCTGGTCCACAGTGCAAACGTATAACTCCGTAGGCGGTAACAGAGCCTAAGTAACTCCGATCTCTAACATGAATGTTCTCAGCAATCATATACTGACAATTTTGTATCTTTGAATTTTTAAGTACATGATTTATTTCTAATGTATAAATGCATTGACATTCCATAGAATATTCATGTTTCGCGTCATTATCATAGTGAGAACTATTTTCGTCCCTCAACAATAAATTCATAGTATTTCAGTTATTTAATACTTTCTTATATTTGAAAATATTTCTCACTAACTTATAGTTAGATGATATTGCTGAGAGGTGAAATCTTGAAGATACTTTTCATTTCATTTAGAACTCCTCAATTGGATCAATTGCATTTAAGTTTCCATATTCCTACCAAGTTTCCAACCCAACTCTCTCCATTTCAACTATCCTGTGTGTTATCTACTGAGTTAATAAGTTCGGATAACCACTAACTTATACAATCGCGATAAATTTATAAAATTCTATTTTTTAGAAGTCTGATTGTCTTCAAATAGGATTAAACGTATGCCTTAGATTGCAATTCTAGTCACTTTTCAATTTTACTTTAAAAAAATTATAACCTATTAATAATATCAAAGTAATTACATTCGAGATTTACATTATACTCAAAAGAGATTGATCAGTGATAGATCTTAAAAAAAACATTAGAAACAATTAACTTCATACAAATAGATTAAGTACAATAAGATTTGACTCAGTTTATTAGACAGTTTAAATTAATCTGATCAGTGAATAGTTTATACTGATATACTTATTCGCATCAATTCATAATTATACACTTCACATGTAAATGTTAGACATTCTATTTCATCTAAATATTCAACAACTTAAGTATTCTGAAACAAAAAAGAAACATCAACAACAATACTAACATAGTAATGATTACAAATAAAACAAAATGTCTGGGCATCAATATTACAATATTTTATTGTGCTAATTAACTAGTTTATACCAAATCAAATGATTTTCTAAAAACTATTTAGTATATCCTAATTATGTATATACATACGGACATTTTGTACTGTGCATCAACCCATCAAATTCTATACTCCCATAAAAACTATTCATTATAAATACAATGATTTAATAAAATATTTCTTATACTAAACATTCTTGTATAGAATTCTAAATCTATTTAGATGAATCGTTTCATTTACCTTTCAATTTATAATTGTATCTATAAAATGAACAAATAGTTCGTTGTTGTTGTTGTTGTGTGTGTGTTTCCTTGTAGTAGTAGTAGTAGTTGTTCTTGTTGTTGTTGGTGGTGGTGGTGCTGGTTTTTCTTCGTATAAAATGTATAAAACTAGTAATCAATATTAATTAGAATTTTTTTCCGTTTTCCTCTTAAAATACACTTTTTTTAAAATGTACGATTTATTGTAACAAAATTACACTTAGATCAATGATCTGATAGAAATATGAAAGTGATGATTTTGTATTGTAGTTTCATTTTGGTTTTCTTTATAAAAGAAGAACTATAAACTCTGTACTCTTATTCTTTATACACTTATTCTAATCATTCTGTGGTTAACTTATGAAAAAAACTATGTAAAACAAAATCAGTAATGTCAATAATTAAGTTTAAGGTAATAAAAATATAACTTTCAACTATACGATGATGATTAGAAGGGGTTTTGTGGAGATTTTAATAATTTTATAGTTGATTTCATGAGTCAATTAAAGTTAAACCAATATGAAAAACCTGGAAGCAATAAATGGCCTCTCCGTCCTATTGTGGGACTCCTCAGCATTGCGCATCCATGATCCCGCCCGGCGATATTTCAACCCACGACCTATCAGTCTCGCGCTCGAACACTTAACCTCTACACCACTGATCCAGCCGGCATTCAACGGTGTTAATATTTAACCTCAACTGATCCACTAAGTTGCGCCACCCTCCACCATTGTCTTCATTAAGTTACTACCTCAAAACAAACTCGATTGAAATCCACTGGTCACTGCTTCACACTAGAACGCCAGGAAATACATCTTGAAGACAGTCATGCGCGGCGGTATTGTGAATGCGCATTGCTGAGGTGTCCCACAATAAGACGAAACGACCGTTCACTGCTTCTAGGTTCTCCATGGTGGTCTAGCTTCAACTGATTCACGATCTAACCATTGAAATTATTTATTTGTTTTATTCATTATGATTTCAAAACAGTTAATTCAATTCTTGTGCATGTATTATATAATCTTAGATTGCATAACTATTTACAAGTCTAGTCAAGGCAATACAGAAATAGAGTGTAATATTTCATAAAATGAGAATACTTTTATTATTTGAACCGTTTTAATTAAATAATTATCACAAAGATTCTAATACATCTATAATGTAAGTTAAATGAATAATCATAAGTTATAGGCATTTTAGTGTACAGGATTGTTATCAGACCATAGATTGAATTAGTCATTAGTCTTACAAACGTACTATTTTCGTTGGTAAACTAGAAGATAAGTACACTAAAAACTGTTTGACAACATGACGGCGGTCACAGACTATAATTTATGGACGAACCAATCACGTATGAGATAACGGGTCTTGGATTTTGGTGTGAAATTCACTTATCCATTTCGATAAATAGAGTCTTGACATTATAGTTGATGTCAGTTCGTGATGAAAACCCAAAATCACGCCCGAAGCCTTTAACCTAAACGTCTGATCCACAAAACAGTAGATCAACGTCAGGTGATGCAGTCCCATGGTGTTTGGTGACCAACAATAGGTTCATACGCCATTCGTTCCCTCAGAAACCTGGAACGCATGTGCAGTATAGGTTTGGGATCAGGGTTTTTTAACTCCGCTAGACGAAGTCAGAACTTAATAATAAGTGTTGCAAATTTGTAGGAATGAGTTTATTTACTAATAGTTTTATATAAAACATTACTCAAAATGGGAGATCTGTGAAGGGTTTTGAATATCTTTAAGATCGCGAATCGAACTAAGTTAGACAACCATTAGAAACGTGAAATCACTGAATAGCTGTTTCGTGCTAATAAAGGATTCTTCAGCATTATGTATCTAAGTCACTACCTATGATCGAACTAAAGAACTTTACGTCTCGTGGCAAGAGAGCCGTTTAGCTTGTATTTAATGGTCTATCAGTCTAATTCCAAATAGCTAGCCATCCCTGGTTTCCTCAATTATTTAACTTAGGTCGGCTTTGGTGAAGTTAATTTACAGAACCAGCCATTCAAACAAGTACTACGTTTTGATTTTTATTTCAGATACTTTCTTGAGTTAGGTAGATAAGCTTAGATTTATAATAATAATCATGGAATTTCTCGAAAAACATAAAAACAAAATTCCATTTTCTTATAAACTTACCATAATCTCATTCATGATATTTCATGTTGAAATTAGTGTGATGTACGCTACTTAACTATCATGTAACACCAATAGGAAGTGGAATATATGCCAGCAGAATATTAATAAGATTCAATTTAAAAGAACAGTAAGGGAAACAGAAAGTAATTGTAATAACAACAGGATTGAAAGAATTATGAAGTATGTATATTTTAAGAAAGCATTCTGTAATTTGGTATTATACAATAAATTGATTATCCTCACCAAGTCTCGTTCACTACATGAAGACTTAGAATGATGATACTCTAAAGTTTTATGGAAATATTTAATATTAGTCATATTATTTAGCAATAATTCTTTATAATGTTACTGAATCACTTTAAATACTGTTTCGTTCTTTTTGTTTCTCTTACAGACGTAAATTATTCTAACTATAATTTACCAATGAAAAACACAACCATACAATATGATAACATATCAACAGTAGCATCTACAGATGTACATTCACAGTCTGTTGGAGCTAATAATAGTACTACTACTACTGCTAATAATAATAATAATGACGGTAATGTTAATAATAACAGTAATACACATTCAATAGCTCAAATCAGTCAGATAACCATAGATAACAATCAACATAAAAGTGATAAAGTGAAGAAAAATCTTTTGAAACTACAAAGCAAGCATAAAAGTATCACCAATTCAAGCATTAAATTTATGCGTTACAATACTGGTGATACAATACAATTGAAATGTCGAATACCTAAAGGTCCATATCTTGTAAGTGATGTTAGTTAGTTTTTTATTACATTTTGTATTAGTAATGTTTGTAGTATTTAACTGTTAAGAAATTCACTGTCTTTTATTTCCATCCTCCAATACCTGTTTTCTTAGAGAAATTTTATTAGGAAAAATATTTTTTAATAATTGTCCTTTTCAGCTTTCAAACTTATCCAATATGTAGTTAATAGTCATCCTAGAATTGATTGACATGTAATTGTACAACAACAGATTGTTGTCGGTTTACATGTATACTAGATGATTGTACATATAAATGTACAAAAGTATCAATTAGATGTGAATAGAATGGCTTATCGTTGAAGGTTAAACATTTGGACTTATTTAAAGATAATGTATCTTATTACAACCATTTATATATATAAAGAGAGGGAGGGAGAGAGAGCTTGGCATTTCTCCAGTGTAACCATTTGACTATTAGAATGACGAGAATTCTAGCTTAGTTACATCTACTAAATTTGTAATTAAGACCAGTATACATTTATAAAATAGTAGGCATATAATCGAATTTCTTTTTTCATCAGAAAAATCAGAAGTTAACAGAATGAAAGTTGAAAAAAACTTTTTTTACCATAATATTATCCCCCTCTAAATTTGATAAATAATTCATAATTATCACTAACATGTATACAGGTTGTATCTGGATTTCTTTTTTCTTAAAAGATTATTCTTACCATTGACAAGTATAAGTACCTTTATGAATAATTATTAAAGTAAAATGTAAATTCTCAAAGATACAAAATAACTATCCAGGGTGTTGTTAAAATAAATAAATAAAAACATACAAAGAAAAACAACTTAAAACTTAATTACATTGTGTATAGTGTTTCTGTTCTTCATAATCAAATCATAATCCAAATTATGTTTGTTTGTATGTTGTTTTGTTTGAAAGAAAAATAAAACTAAAAGGTTTTGTCCTGTTTGTTTGTTTCTTTCTGTCAAGAATCAGAAACACAAAAACACATCTACATCACGTACCAAAAAAATAAAAAAAAACTCGTATGCAAAAAAACGAAAAAAAAATGTTTTATAGTAAATTCAGCTGTCAATTTAAAGGAAACGCAATATTGATTAGTAACCAATACTTGTTAGTTATTTTTTTAAAACTTTTCATTTTCATTTCGATGTTTTCATTGTTATTTGTTCAATTAAATGCATAGTTTTATTTAAATGTTACCATATTCATTTGTTTGTCTTTATATGTTAAGGATGTTTAATGAATATATATATATATATATATATATATCTTCCAGTGTGATGTATGTTTATAAAAGAGTTTCTAATTTTGTATTTCAATAGTTGAAATCACGAGTCAATTGAAGCTAGACCGTCATGGAAAATCTGGAAGCACTAGATGACCGTTTCGCTCTAGTATGGGACTCGTGACTAGTGCGCATCCACATTCATGCCCCCCCCCTGAGATTCCAAACCAGCACCTATCAGTCTCGTGCGCGAGAGCTTAATTATTAGACCACTGAGTCGGCTGGCATTCAACGGTGTTAATGTCTAACTTCAAACAATCCACGAAATTGAGCCATCGTTCAACATTGTCCTCAATGAGCTGATATCTCACAACAGACTCGGTTAAACTCCAATAGTCACGGCTTCTCACCAGAACTCACTAGAACAGCCGTCCAGTGCTTCCAGGATTTCCATGGTGGTATAGCTTTAATTGACTCAAGATTTCAACTATTGAAATTATTAAAATCTCCACAAATCCCCCCCCCCCTGATAATTTTATATTTGTTCAATAAAGAATAGAAATTTATGAACACAGGAAGGGAATAATACATACTAAGTCAAGAATAGAATTAATGTATACACACAAAAAAACAATAGAAGAACTAATAAATATTAGATAGTTCTGATGAAACATTTAAATGAATATAAGGTACTCATTGTCTTCCTTTCATTATTTCCTTCATTTTCCTCTGTACATTTCACTTATCGACTTACTTATCCTCTTCATCTCGTTTCTGATTTGTTTCCCCCCTTTTTTATCATGTACATTAAAATATCATCAAACTGTCATTCATTATTATATCATATGTGTGTCTGTTGTTTACGTGTGTGTGGTGTGTATATGTATATGTTTGTGAGTGTATGGGAAATAAAAAAGGTGATTAAAATCATCAGAAAATAAAGAAAAACAAACGAAAAAGGAAACACCAAAAAGAAACTTGATATTATTTTTTATTCATTCAATATGAATTTTATTGTTGTTATTTTCATGTTACATTTCTTCTTTGTGTGTGTGTGTGTATGTAATATGGTTTTCTATGTTTATCATTGATAGATTATATTCAATTGTTAATGATATGTTGGTGTTTAAGTTTACTCTTAAGTCATTGTTCAATCTGTGTGATATGCTACAAAATTTAATATTTTTGACAGATATATAATGAGAATAGATGAGTTAGTGTTTTCTCAATAACGTTTTTTTTAAAAAAAATCTTAAGTAGCATGACAATCATAGCAGTATAAAGTTAGTTGAATTCATCTGGATGTTGCCTTGTTCTGTATTCTACATGGTCGAAATATGTAGCTTACATTGTCGTTCAAGAGAACATCATCAAAACTTACTTTATACAGAGGTAAGCATTCTAGTTATTCCACAAAGTTTCAATCAGTTCGTTATGGTTAACTCGTTTCTGAATGGTTGTTTTTCTCTTTTTCTCTTGTCCTTAAATTTGAATTGACAATGTTGTTTAGTTAGGTAATAATCGTATAATTGACCTTTTTAGTATGGATTGATAAATAGGACATATGTTGATGTCCGTAATGATTACTGATTGAACTGAAATTTCCTGGTGATCTTAGAATTTCCTCTGTCTTCCCAGTAACATTCAAGTCAGCAGTTGTGTAACCATATTTATATCAGTGATCACATAGTAGGTTGTCTAACTTCTATTCTATGTTCAATGAAGAAATGTAGTCACTAATTGATTTGTATTAAAAGCGAACTATAGGTAAAAATTATTTTCTCTAAAGCTGTGTACCGTACAATTAAAATTGTTATGCTGTGGTGCGTACTACTGATGTCGACAAACATTAGTATGTATCGTTAATCGAAAGTCAAATGTCTGTCTGCAGAAGGTTAAGAAGTTTGAAAAGAAGAGAACGAAAACAGAGAATGATTGATGTGGAAACGAAAGGACAATCAAGTCTGAGACAATTGATTGACATTTTGCAAATGGTGTACTTACTGTATAGTTCTCAGATTTTAATAAGGCATTGTGTAATTTTGTATTCAAATACACTCAGTTGTTCCCATTAATGTTTTCGTTCGCTACAATGCCTTTAAAAATTATGGATTAGTATTTCGTTTTATTTTTTGAAGAACATTGTATATGAAACATTCTAGGATAAATCAGGTTTTTGTATAGATCAATGAGATATAAATCATAATTAAAGGCAAACAATTTATGAGTCTTTATGTTAATTATTGTGTTAAATAAGTAATTCGTTAATTGAGAATTAGTTAAGGTTTAATTAGCTGACTGTGTACTACGTATTATTATATATATAACTGATAAATATGATTAATATTAGGAGGGGTTTTTGTGGATATTATAGTAATTTCAATAGTTAAAATCATGAGTCAATTGAAGCTAGACCACCATGGAAAACCTGGGAGCAGTGAATGGCCGTTTCGTCTTATTGTGGGACTCCTCATCAGTGCGCATCCACGATCCCGCCCCCCACGAGATTCGAACCCAGGACTAGTGACTGTCTTCAAGAAGTATTTCCTGGAGTGAGAAGCAGAAACCAATTGAATTTCGTGGATTAGTTGAAGTTAAACATTAACACCACTGGACGCCGGCTTGGTGATGTTGAGGTTAAGCGTTCACAAGGCGGGATCATGGATGCGCACTTCTGAGGAGTCCTATGCTAGGATGAAACATCTGTCCAGTGCTTCCACGTTTTCCATGGTGGTCTAGCTTCAATTGACTCATGATTTCAACCATTGAAAATACTTTTGTATAAGTTGACATTTTGAAATGTGGATAGAAAAATATAAAAAAATATTCCCGATTAAGTTATTTATTTCCCTTGAAAACTGGTCTGTTAATTTGTTACCATTTAGTGTAATATAAAATTAAATTTCAAAATAGATCTATCACTATGTGAAGAAAACAATAATTAAAACTTATTTTGATTGGGTTATGGGATTTTTTTTATTGATTGAAATATGTGTTTTATGACAGTGAATCAATCCAATGAATTTCTATGACATACCGTTAAGATTCTGGTCAGTTTTTTTTTATTTATTAGCAAAGTATTTTTCTATGGGATAGGGTTGCTGATCTCATCTCCAACCTTCTTTCTATACCCGATCTTGAGACTGACACTAACCCTAGAAGAACTATAGGTGGAGTTTCTTTCAAGATTACTTATTCAAATATGAAAATTGTTTATATTATATTCACATTATTACAATAAAAAACCAGTTGTTAATATTAGTAGTAATATAGTGAAATGATGAAATCATCAATTAATTTAACAAGCAATAAAGTAGTGATTCATCTTAGTTGAATTAGGAACAGAACTATAAGGAGGTAAAAAAAAAGTGTTACGCATAGATGAAACTTATAAAAACCCAGTAAAAACATGTTAAATGTTATTCACACTATACATTCACGCTCTCATTAGTCAATAAATTGACCAGAAAGCTACATCAATACCAACATTTACAGAATATGTATGAGGACAAAAATATGGATGATATACGCATATTAATGACCTCCAGTATAGGATGTGTTTATGACATCTTACAGAGACAATGATGACCCTTTTTTTTTTAAGAAAAACAAATATAAACTATCATTTTGTCTTAGAATGATCAATTCGAATCAAGTTTTTTAATGCTTGTATTTACTAACATATCCTTGCATTTCAGGGAATAAGATTCTAGAGGATTAGTTGTATAACACAAGGCTAATGTGAATTTATTGTATGGACTGTAATGTTTGATAACTAGCAAATCACAATGTTACTAGAACTACTACAACAACATTCTGTAAATGGAGTTAGTTTATACTAGTGAACAAATACCAGTAATACATAACCTTAGGTATTTGATAATAATGACCATCGTATGATATAGTGATTTTCAGGATCTATAAAACAAGTCTGATATAACTATCATTCATGAAAGTAATGACATTAATTCCTTATTTCTTTTATTGTACTCAATAATGGAATTTAACTGGTAACTTTTATAATCATAAGACAGATAAGAAGTAATAAAACAATGTTATATTCATCTTATTGTGTCTATTCTAAACTCGTAAATACTAGAGTTCAGCTGTTATTTTCACTAAAGTACTGTTATATATTCAAATAAACCCACAAAATATAATTATATTAAATGTTCATCCTGAGATCTAATGTTCTTCTTTTTATATAGCCATTTTGTTTGTGAGCAGTTTACTTACTTACGCCTGTTATTCCCAGTGTAGCATAGGCCGTCAACCAGCATATATGTAACTAAATTAATGATTGCTCTGACTTCCGAAGGAACTCAGCTTTCACCAAGAGGCGTCATAACTCTTTTAAATGAAGACCTAACACCTAGGGCAGAGTTTAAATGGTTTAATTATTTTTTTCTGGTTAGCGTTTTTTTAGCGAGTTAGTTTTTTATGGGATAGGATTGCTAACCGCATGCCCAACCCTCCTTCTTTATCTGGGCTTGGGACCAGCGGTACCTTCAGAGGACTTCCAGGCGGAGTTGTGAGTAGTTTGATATAATTGAATGCAACTTAAATCTTTATTGTCAATCATAAATGTTCCTAGTAAATTCAGTGTAATTTATTGAACACTATAACCTTTAGATATATTGGTTAGAATAAAAATTGTTACATTGTAGTCTTAATTTCATAGTTCAGCTTGATTCCAATCTTACTATTTTATGAACAACATCATTTATGCATACTGTGAATTCGACATTTTTGGAATTTGATAAATAGGTCATATTTAAGGTATAGTAATAATAATAATATTAGTAATGATAATAATAGCAACAATAGTAATAATAGTAATAATAAGATATTTCTGTAAGTTATGAAAGTAAAAATGCCATTATCTTGGATAACCATTCTATGTAATGTATATGAAGAAATAAAGTCAAAACGTGATTCTAATTTCATTATAACAGAAAATATTTTTAGTCTGTGTGGGATTGTGAAAATTTGTAGTGGCTTTGCTTCGTTAATCAATCACCTTTATAACCCTTATTATATAAATCTCAACGGTGTTTGAAATCAGATGGTAATAAGAAGAGGTAACTATAGTTTATTAGCGGATAGTACAGACAACAAAGTTATAAGCATATCGAGCGAATTTGAAGCAGAAAAGCCAATATGTGTACAGGAATAAATACAGAGGCCAATTTTTAGTCAAATCCAATAAGCCTCAGCTAGGCAAGACAAAGACTAATAATAGGATTCGTGTACATTTTATACAAGGGTAAGAGATATTTAAACTATCAACATTCAAGCTATTGTCTATCATGTAATCTAGTGATCATAACGTTACAAAGAAATATGTCAATTGTTACTGTTATGTAAGTTAATAAAATGGCTCAACAAACATGTAACCATAATCAAAATTGGTTGTAGGATAGTTGCTATAGTTTATTAAATTTTATTCAAATCATGAATTAATCTATGTTGGATAATCATGTTAGGTATGAGAAATGTATCTATTGAAGACAATGTGAGATTGTCTTATATGATGGTGAATTGATTGAAACCATACTTGTATCTTGGCTCAGTGATCTACAAGGTAAAACTTGGCTATGAGATCAAAGGTCTTAAGTTAGATTTGCTACAGTGAATAAATATTTGACTATAATATCCATATTCAGTCATGATTACATAATCTTGGATGATAAAGCTTAATCATCAAAAAAATAATAGTTTGAAAATGTTTCAAATGAATTTATGGTCTTTAAAAACGTAACAGTCCAAATTTCAGATTGCTGTCAATTTTATTCTTTCTTATTTAACACTTGTCCCCTTGAACCTAATGGAAATCAAAGAGTTTATAATGTTTTTAAAGCTTCTATTTTATGTTGTTTTTTTTAATTTGAAAGTCATACAAATTGATGAGGTTGGAAACTTAGTTTAATGTCAATCTTACAAATATTCAGTAGACTTTAAATCAATTAACCATTATACTAATTTTGTAACCTACTTCATAATTATACTTGTTTTGTTATAACATTGTATAAGTTACATTTAAATAAATCTACCTTGAGAATATTATTATTTTCAGTGTATTTCATCATATTCCACTTACAAAGTATTCACAAATGATTGATCACTGGGTGGTGACCAATGTCATGTGTGTCAAGTCCTTCTTAGTGCAGATCGAATGCTATCGACCAGGTTGTAATGTGGCAACTAGTCTAGGTGACTCGACATCTTACAAAGTATTTCAACCAAAGAAACAGTAAAGTGTTTTTAACGGGTTTTTTCGCGTACAAAAATAATTTCTTTTAAAGTGTACTTGTATCGATAATATCTATGCAACATTGTTTTATTAGATTTTTAAAACAACCGGTGCTTTCGATAAATTCCGGTAATTATCGAAATGGGTTTTTTGGGGATTTTAGAAATTTCACTGGTTGAAATTATAAACCAATTGGAGCTAGACCACCATGGAAAACCTGGAAGCACTGGACGGCCGATTCTTCCTACTATGAAGACAATGGTTTACGATGGTGCAATTTCGTGGATTATTTTAAGTTAGACATTAACACCACTTGATGCCGGCCGGCTAAGTGGTCTAATGGTTAAGCGCTCGCGCGCGAGACTGATAGGTCCTGGGTTCGAATCTCGTAGGTTGGAAGCGGGATCGTGGATGCGCACTGCTGAGGAGTCCCATACTAGGGGAAACAGCCATCCAGTGCTTCCAGGATTTCCATGGTGGTCTAGCTTCGACTGACTCATAATTTCAACTAGTGAAATTTCGATAATGTAATAAGATGAAGTTTATCAGAATGATGTGATATATATTTGCGCAATACATTTCGAACAATCTGATAACATATGTATATATATATATATATATATATATATATATATAGAGAGAGAGAGAGAGAGAGAGAGTGAGAGGTAAGCCATAACAAAGAAAAAAATAATTTTAAAGTACACAAAAACAAATGTGATTACCACTCTAGAGAATAAATCAGTATTACCAGGGTAGGTTAAGTGTAAGGACAAATTGTTCTTGAACACATAAAGGGGGTTTCCATTTCCGTATAGCTTCAACAAACCTTACTTCGAAATGTATGCACAAATATATCACATAATTCTGATAAACTTCGTCTTCTCATTGAATCAATCGAAATTTAACAGATTTCCTCAAAAACAAACAATTTCCATTTGTTTCAATGAATTGTAATCATAGTAAAATTTTAAAATATTAAGCAATGTTAAATTCACTTGGTCTGTTTAAACTATCCGATTGATGTTTAGAAATGCAATTGATCAGTCTGTTGTTGACATATGCACATCCTGTGCGGACTGCCTTGATATTGCTCTAAGTCACAAGCTTTATGAGTAAAGATGGATAGTGGCTAGCAGTGGAATCCAGGATGGGCGTTTTGTTCTATTTGAGACTCGTCAGCTAGATGTAACTTCATCCCGGAGTTGATGTTCTCTCAGGGAAATATACATCTTAAACGATGTAGACTGAAATGTTTTTCTATTATTCAGAATAAGTTCACAGTACCATTGTATTTTAACAATTGACCTCTTAACTTTTCTTAAATAATCTCTTTATCAATCTTCATTTATCTCACTACAACTATTAAGTGTTATACTGATTCGATTTTTACACAACTACAGAAATAAATATGAAGTTTATTCAAAAATGAAGTTTAATTCTAGATTTTCTTCGAACATTTTCATGAAATAACAAATAAAAGAAAACCAAAGGTCTTTAGTCTTGAAGTGACGTTTCGTGATCATCAGAAAATTTGGCTCTTTTTTTATCTTTTAGCCTACTTCGAAAGATGACAGTATTTTAAACTCATAATTTAAAATAATAAATATCAATTTTATAATCAGAAAGGGTTTTTGTGGATATTATAGTAATTTAATGAATGAGATCATGAGTAATTTACAGCTAGACCACCATGGAAAACCTGGAAGCACTGGACGACCATTTTGACCCAGCAAGGGACTCCTCGTCAGTACTCATCCACGATCCTGCTCCGCGGGATTTGAACCAGTTGAGTTCAACCGTGCCTGTTATGAGATAGTAACTCACTGAGGACAATGGTGGACGGTGGCTCATTTTCGTGAATTGGTTGAAGTTAAACATTAACACCGTTGGGTGGCCTCTCAATGGTTTAGAATTTAAATGTTCGTGCACAAGACTGATAGGTCCTGGGTTCGAATCACGTAGGTTGGAAGCGGGATCGTGGATGCGCACTGCTTAGAAGTCCCATACTAGAACGAAACGGCCGTCCAGTGCTTCCAGGATTTCCATGGTGGTCCAGCTTCAAATTACTCACGAACTCAACATTAAAATATCATTTTGTTTCTTTATTCTATTATTGGTTTATACTCTAACTGTTATTCAAAATGTATTTATTAATTTATAGGTATTATGGAATAAACTAGGATTAGATTACCCATTAACCATTGGGAAAAATCGTTTTATACCAGATGAACGATTTGAAATACAATATAAACCACCGAATCGTTGGAATCTTATCATTTCAAATGCTCAATTGAATGATACAGGTGTATATTCATGTACTCCCGGTTCAGGAATAAGTAATAGTCATTCAAATGTTAATAATAAATCAGATTTAAAACACCATCAAGAATATCAACCACAGTCTGAGAAGAATAGACATAGAATACATACGGCAGTCACAGATAGTACGACAACAAAGAAACAAAATAAAGGTCGAGAATATTATGTTTCTGTTGGTGAGTTCATTTGGATAATCTAATATTTAACAATTTTAATTGAAAGTTTCATTGAACGTTAGATATATGTCATAAATTATACTTGTTCTCTGACGTCATATTGTCTCTTTGCTATTGAAAACCAAATATATAATCGCTAATCCTTAAGTAAAAATAAAAGGAATGTGGCTATGAAGAGATTTGCCCCCAAATGCCCTTGGTACGGCCTTGGGTGGGGAAAGTTATCACTTCCTCTGGAAATGCTCTCATATAGCCACATGTATACAGCTACTGTCACAGATGTCCTACTCACTGTCTTCCCGCAAAGGGGTGTATTTTACGAAATCGAGAGGACATAAAGCGAATGTCCGACGCTTTAACCGGGTTGATGAACACGGAGGATCCACCTAGGGGAGTTGGAAAAACCTGATTCCAAACCAATTGTGGGCATGAACTCCAGAATCCTGAATGGACAAATAGTTGGCCACCGATTACCATGGGACCGCATCTTGTGGTTCAAACCTTTGGATAGAATGGTCCAGGCGTGGCGACCCAAAAAATCCACCTGCTTCGGTTTGGACACCCGGATATTATCACAGTCCATACACAAATCAATTGACTTGTGTGGCGCATATATATTTGGTGTCCCTTTGAACCAATATTTATATGTTCAAATAAATGAATAAATGAAGAGATTTAGCTCACAGTTTAATACTTTAAAAGCATAACATACTATTCTATCTATTGAGTTAAACTTATTTTTATGGAATGCTACAAAATGAAAATAACTGAAAAAGCGAATATTATAAACCAAATGTAACTATGTATTGTATAACTTGTATTGTGTTCTTAAATATCAGATCAATCAATAATAGTTAAAATCTTAGATTATGTATGGATGAATGAAATATGGAAGAAAGTTTTAAAAAATGATCATGCATAACGATTCATCATCCAATGTAGTCACATATAGATTGAGACATAAAATAAGAAAGATTAGTTCAGTGAAGAGTTCACTTTTCAGTCAAATCATTTTCAAAGCCGTACAATGACAAGTATATATATATATATATATATATATATATATATATATATATATATATATGAAATTGTTTTTGTTAAATTACAATAGTAGTATAATAATAGTGATTATAATAATTTGTTAAACATAGTAACAGTGAAATAGAATAAACACAGGCATTAAAACGTTATTTTTATCAGGGACATATGTATTTAATCATTCTTCAGTATGTTTAATAAATGTACTATTATAATCACTATCTTTGAGGACAAAATTCTATGACATAAATGAAAAAAGTGTAACAAAATGTTTTATTGGCCTGGGATTTGACTCCAGTCATATCGCCAATCCTCGTATATAATCATCGACTTAATTAGCGTTTATGAATAATGGAATTATATAAGTCAAAAACGAGAATGGATTTTTGAATTTATATATTTCGTACAATTGTTGATCGGTACAAACAACTGAAGAAACGAAGCGAAGAAAGCGAAAAGAAGACAGTGAAGTGAAATGACGCGCGATGGAGAAGGTGTGTGAGCCAATTTAGTCAAGCATTATTCGATATTTATAGTCGAACAAAAATAAGCTACAGACATGTGATGAGTAGGATAAGAAGTGCACACTCATACGCTCATATAAAAAGTCAAGGTTGATATGCGAGTAATTAACAAGGTCAAAATGTGACTTAAGTAGAATGAATAGATTGACCTATCAGGAAGCTAGAATAAGTTGTGTGGCCTTAATATAGTAACCGACACTACAAATTCACACACATGTTCAATTTGAAAATCTAATCGAACAGACAAATGGTATTAGTTCAGTCTCTGATCACTAATTTCAACGTTTTAAATCTACTCTACTCGATAGCTCCAACCAGTAGATTAACACAAACGTGACGGGTAAAATTCTTCTAACGAAAGAGCATAGAACCAAACTAAAACTACATAGAATCAATAAAGAATTGACTATAATACGATCAGATAAAGGTGTAGACCTAGTGCTGCTAGACCGAAAGATGTATATCGAAAAAATGACAAAATTATTGTCAAATGACATCAAGTTCTCTAAACTAATCAATGAGAAGTACAAGATTGAAATGATAGAAAAACAACTCAAAGAAGTTCTTAAGTGAATGAAAAATGATCAGGTAATCAACAAAGATATCTATGAACGCATAAAACCAATAGGATCAATAAAACCACGATTATGTGGTTTGTCTAAAATACACTAATATGGCTTACCTATCAGACCAATTCTTGATATATGCGGATCCTCTTATTACTCTGTAGCAAAGTGGCTAGCAGATCTCCTAGAACCCTTTAGAAAACTTATTTATATACACTCCTTACACGATACTCTAGAATTCATTAAATATGTAAAAAGGTGAGTGTAAATGGCAAATTCATTCTCGCTCATGATGTCGAATCACTATTCACTAATGTTTAACTCACAGAGACCATGGTTTTCATCCATAAATACATAAATAATAAGATTAATATCGGAATACTGGAAGTTTATTTGAAGGAACTACTATTACAATGCACTGGTAATGCACGAATTACATTCAACGACGTAATTCATATGCAAATGAATGGTATAGTAATGAAATCTCTTCTTCATGCATTACTAGCAAATCACTTCATGGTCAATCTAGAAAACAACTATTGAAAACTTCCACCTGTATAAAAGGTACGTAGATGATATATTAATCATTAGTGACAACAAATATGATTTGAGTCATCTTCTGAAGACATTTAATAACTATCACCCAGCAATAAATTTCATACTTGAAGTTGAAGACAAACAAAATATTTAATTTCTTGATGTGGAAAGGACAAGAAAACACGAAGGAACTCTAAGAAGTTCTAACTGCAATAAAAACATGTGGAATGGCCAACTATCAAATTTCCACAGCTGGGTCCTCATTAGTCAAAAACAAAGCGCAACAATATCAATCATTGCGCATATATAAAGAATTTGTAGTCCCGAGGTCATAGATAACGAGCTGAGCCTCTTGAAGAAAATACTTATCAAAAATGTGCATTCCACTATATTTATTGACAAGAATATAAAACCTAAACAGCCTAAAACACTAATGACCTCAATCGAAAAGAAATCACTCTAAATGAACATAGATTTCAAGAGTGATAGATTTACAAACGTCCTTAAGAGGAGAATTTTCCATTTTCTAAGAAGAACAATCTCAGTAGCAACGTTGTAAATGGTGTTCTCCAGTCGATCATTGTTCATCAATATTCTTAAGGATAAATTATCTCATCTGACCAACTCTATGTGCACTTATCAATTTACTTGCTCATGTGAAGTCAGACTTGTAGGTCGTTTGAGCTATACTTTATCCAAAAGAATTCATGAATATTAACCGACTTGACTAGAAATAGGTATAAAAGGCTCAATAAAAATCCCAATAATCGAAGACGTCGTAATTACAGGTCACTCAGTCAAGACGGACTTTGCTTTCATAGTCATTTATAAGGTGGGTAGAAGGCTGATAAATGCAGTTATCATGCATCTCTTGAGATTGTCAAAGCAATAGATGTACATCTAGAAAAATCAGAATTCTATCCCCAAAAAAATTGGTACAATCCTTCATAACTTTTCTCTCTTCTTCATAGTTTTCATCCTTTACAGCCGCTTGCATGTCGTTCCATCTTCTCTATAGACTTTTCACCAAATATTTGCTTATTTCTCTGTCTACAATCCTCCTAATCAAATTTCATTTCAATTTCAACATTTTACCATACCATGCTCAGCTATCCTTTTCCAATAATAATTTCCCTATATCTCTTCATGATGAATATTCAAGCCATCAACAACCAAACTATTATTCGTTTGCTTGATGGAAATAACGCTTTATTACGTTTGTTTATTCCACCTCACTATGATTGTAATTATTATCATCTTAAAAAATAAGTATGTATATGTTTGCTTTTGTACAGCTTTGAAAATGTATTCGTCATAAAGAGAACTCTTCACTGAACCAATCATTCTTATTTTATGTCTGAATGGGTATATTCTACTTAATTAAATAAATATTGATATAATATCTTACTTAGTCTTACTAAAATCTAGGCATTTCGTTTGAATAATAAATGCTTTAAAGATTTTGTCATGTAATATATGACTACATTTCAATGATTAAATAGTAGAAAAGATTCGTAGTTCAGGTGGATGATTTTGATGATGTTTTGTACTCTGAGCTAGATGGTTTGGTTGTGGAGCTTTAATCGTTCTATATGTGGAGAAATTAAAACACTTCACTTCTACCTGAAGTTTATGATGATGAAGATGTCGTTCAGAAGAACGATGAAAACTTCATGACCAAATAATCTAGCTGAGAGAACAAAACTTTAATGAAATATTATTCCAATTTATTTTGTCTATGAATAACAAGTTACTAATTACATATCTCTGTATTGTTTGTTCAATGTAAACGCAGCTCTTTTTTTAGTAGGCACGCATCGTTTCATGTTTGCCTATATTTTCATTTAATATGCTCTTAAAAGTATATTCATAACATACATCGTCAAACGAATCTGAATTATTTACTTAAGCAAATGTCCACTATATTTTTTCAGTTACTGTGATTCTATGAAAACACGATCAGGTGAACGATTGATTTTGTCTATACACTAAAGTTTATTTAAAAGCTATTTTAGTTTAGTTTCGTTTGAATTCAATTTTTCAATGAGGTATTATGAGGATGGGAGAATAAAAAGTTATTTACAGGACAATGTTTTGTAGAGATTATAAAAAGCCTCCTAATTTAAATCCCAAATTGATCTTCTGTCGATCATCAATGAAAACCTGTAAACAACTGGAAAACTATTTTGTCACATACAAGACTCCACAGCAATGCGTACCCATTACCCCCGACAAACAGAATGAAATCCAGTTTATTTTCGGCAATATTAAATTTTAAGCAAAGATGGATAGTGGCTAGCAGTGGAATCGAGGACGCGCGTTTCATCCTATTTGGGACTCGTCAGCTGGAGGTTTCTACACACCAGAGTTGGTGTTCACTCTGGGACTCGAACCCAAACGGCATCGCGTTATTCACTAAGCTATTGAGTTCTTATAGCCACCTGTTTATGAAATGGTATGAAGTTTGAAATTCACTTGGTGTTGTATACTCGTATCTTTCCACTGTTATTTAGGACCGCAATTTATCAGTCTCTTGTTGGCATATATGCATCCTGTACGGATTGCGTCGATATTGCCTTAAGTCACAAGCTTTATAAGTAAATATAAGGATGCAGTTATATTCAGCTGACGAGTCCTGCATTCCATTACTAGCCATTGTCCATGTTTGCAAATAAAGCTTGTGAATTAAAGCGATTTCAAGGCAGACCACACAAGATGCAAATATTGTCAACAAGAGACTGTTCAATTTCAGTCCTAAATAACAATGGAAAGATACAAGTAAAACAACACCAAGTGAACTGAATATTAAATTTATTGTATGTTTTAAATCACAAACGTAAAGAAAAGAAATAAATATATTTTCAATGGTTGAAATCATGAGTCAATTGAAACTAGACCACCATGGAGAATACGAAAGCACTGGACGGGCATTTCGGCATAGTATGGGACTCCTCAGGAGTGTGCATCCACGATCTCGCCTCCCGCGAAATTCCAAACCAAGACCTATCAGTCTCATGCGCGAGCGCTTAATCATTAAACCACTGACTTGGCATCTAGTAGTGTTAATGTTTAACTTCAACCAATTCACAAAATTCTGCCACCGTCCACCATTGTCTTCAGTGAACTAATATCTCACAACCGAACTAGTTGAACTCCACTGATCACGGCGTTTCACTAGAACTCCGGGAAATACTTCTTGAAGCCAGTCACTAGTGTGTAGATGATTATTATCAGAAGGAGTTTTTTAAAATCTCCACATAACATCTTCTGATAAAATATATTTTCATCAAAATAGCCATTTAATCTAATCACTCTTAACTTTTTATTTCTAAACTGATGTTTATAGACAATTTTAACTAATTTAATTCTTTATTAGTTTTAAGTTTCAAAACATCACCGTTCCATAAGAAAAAAAAACTTAATTCATTTTTGTTTTTTCTACTCAAAACACTTTCGATTAACATAAATTACAACGAAAAAAAAAACAAAAAGAAAACAAACTCATTCACCGAAGTACAATCAACCCATTCAATGTAAATGAATCTTAACATAATTTACAACTTGATTTAATGTATATTACATAATGAATGAAATTAATTTCTTAGATTGTAATAATAATAATAATAATTTAAACATCATTTAGAATTTTTTTTTATTTTTAACTTTATATTATTAATATTTAGTTACTATAGAATTGTCTCCAATAGACAATTAAACATAATGTGAATGATTAAATTTGAATTTACTCAAATTTCTGGAGAAATTTGATAGTATACTTAACTGATTTTACTATTTACAAAATGTAATGTTTATGCTTAATTCTTATTATGGAAAGAAGATATACAATGTTATCTTGTTGTGTTATAAAATGACATTTTGTTAATATAAAGAATTTCATAGTTTAATTCTGAATATGTCTCTAAACGTTTAGTGAAAAACATTTAGTAGTAATGTTTAAACATGTCGAGTATGTGACAGTTATCCACCAGAAAATTGAGTCAACACATCTAGGTGAAGATTAATGTTTGAAAATCTTAAGATCATAAACTAGATTTTTAGTTAAGTCGTGAATGAGCACTGTTGAGAATTACTATACTAATACGAAAGAACTTCCCAGTGCATTGTGTCAAGATGACTCGTGAATAAGAATATATTGATTAAGATCTTGAACCGATTGATGTTAATCCACCATTGAACACCTGGAAGCATTGGATGGCCGTGCAATTTCGTGAATTGGTTGAGGTTAAACATTAACACCGTTGGATGCCGGCTCAGTGGTCAAGTAGGTTAAGCGTTCGCACGCAAGACTGGTAGATGCTGGTTGGGAGTCTCGTGGATATGCACTGCTGAGAAGTTTAACAATAGGACGAAACGGCCATCCAGTTCTTCCAATTTTTCAATGGTGATCTAACATTGATCGGTCGAAGATCTCAATCAATAACTTAATAATCTCCACAACCTTATACTGATAATAAGAATGTGGTTTAGTGCTCTTCATAAGAATTTTACGACACATATAAATGCATTTATTTAAGTTTGTCACTATTTGTCCATTATTAGCGTGACGAATCAGACATTTTCAGGAAACTAGCATCTATCAGATGTTATAGTAACTTGGTTTTTGATTGACTTGTTATTTTCACTAACTGATCACTGAGTTGTCGAAAAATTATTATCTTAAGCATAAGATTATAAATAAGAAAAGATGACTGTAGAGTTTCATTAATTATGAACTTCGATTACCATCACATTTGTATTACAATGTAGATTTTTTCCTAGACTAAATATATGACTATAAATTTTAATTCAATGTATATGTATCTACCTCATTTGACTAAATATTGAACACTAATTGCATTTTAATGAATAGTTATAGTCGGTATTCAAAAGACGAGATTGCAGATATCATACCAAAAAACATGATAGAAAGATTTAGTTAATTTATAAACCTACTCATTTCATTATATTCTATTATTAGATTAAGATGTACAAACATTTATTTAGTCCAGTGACTGCGATTCAATGTGAGTAGTACTTTGATAAACAAACTTTTCTATGTAGCCACAATTCTGACACCATCTTGGTAATCTCTTACTTTCATAGTTTACTACGTGGATTGTTTATATTTAGACAACCTTTGAGAACCAGGAAATACTAGATAACTGTTTCAACCTGGTGCGAGTCTCCCCTAGCAGTAGTCGTCCATTAAAGCTCAGATTGTCAGAGTTTAACCTCTAGACCATCACTATGTCAACATTCAATGGCATAAATTTTTATTATCAATAAATTCACGATATTCCATGGTCATCTACATTGATCAAACAATGTAAAGAAAGAAAGTGAGCATTGAATCAATATTATATTTTATGATAAATTTGTGAATTGACAAATTTCTCTATTTGCATTTTCTTTACATTTTACTCAATTTAGTTGAACCACTACCTTCAGAACGATATCAAGTTGATGTACCTTTTAATAAGATTGGAATGAAAAATAAAAGTAAGTGTAGAAGTTTTCTTTTCTTATTTTTTCTTTTTTTTTGTAAAATACAAGTTTTTATCTTATCTAGTAGTTACTATCTATTTACAAAATTATTTAAATGAGGGTGAGTTTCATTGACAAAATTTTACGTCCCTGTAATCTCTAAATCTCTAGTGTATTCATTTATATGAACTAAATTGGTTCGAAAATTCACATGATTAAAAATCTGTGTCGAATATGCTAAACTGGTACTAAACTGTTCTTTGTTTTTTCATCAAAATATTACTTACTTACTTACGCCTGTTACTCCCAATGAAGCATAGGCCACAGACCAGCATTCTCCAACCCACTTTATCCTGGGCCGACCTTTCTAGTTCTATCCAATTGTTATTCATTCTTCTCATGTCTATCTCCATTTCTCGGTGTAATCTGTTCTTTGGTCTTCACTTTCTCGTTTGGCCTTGAGGATTCTATGTGAGGGATTGCCTTGTGATACAGTTAAATGCTTTCCTCAATATGTGTCATCAAAATATGTCAGCTGATAAGTCTGGTAAGGTACATTAATGACAAGTTATTATTTTATTTAGTGAACTGAAAGGATAATTTCCAGATAAAGTTCTGATGTAACTGAATCTGACAACCTCACTGTTAAGTACCTTTCTAAATTGTGTTTAGATGGAGTACATTAATCTAGTAAATTGGCAATAAATAATTAATACGACATAGAACGAAATAGTATATATCACTGAGTGAACAAGTGGGTAAAAGAGTCAGTCGATGAAAAAATAGAGTTTGATTTCAGCTGTAACTTATCAATTGATTGGATGTTAGACTGTAGACCAGGTTACGTTAGTTACTGTTTGATATGTGTCAAATCATTTATTTCGTGTAGATTATCTTCAAACTGCAAACCGTTTGTAACAAGTAAAATAACAGGCGTTTTATAGTGGTTTTTATTATCCTAAAATCTTTAAAATTGATGCTAGTGATATGATTATTATCAATGGACAAATTTCATTGAATAGAAGTGATTTACCGCATGGTCCATTCATTGATGTGAAGTATACACAAATGATACAGACCTGTAAATAATATGAAATAGTATATAATGTTATCAGCTATCTACTGTAAAACGTAATTTTAACTGATTAAAGCTTATATCTAACAAATTAACCATTGAACGAAATGTTTGATAATAATAATCTATAATACAAAGAAACGACGATAAATAAATCAAATTATTCTAATAATATGACAAATTGTAAAAGAAAAGAAACAGTTCATCAGTTGATTATTAAAACTGTGATTACATAAGAATGAAGGTTTAAAAAAAATCGATTTAGAAATGAACTAATTATTTCTAGTGATTACTACAACCTCTACAAATCCTCATACTGATTATGTAAGAATCAAGATTGTAAACCATAAATTAGGTTAACAAATTAATTAATTATCTGAAGTGATGATTTAAGAAGACAGAGGATAAAAGCAAACTAGAAAAATGATTTATGTATAGATTTGCACTAATAATCTGTTAATATCAGAAAGGGTTTTGTGGGTATTATCGTAATTTTAATGGTTGAGATCATGGGTCAACTGAAGCTAGATCACCATGAAAAATCTGGAAGCACTGGATGGCCGTTTCGTCCTATTGTGGGACTCCTCAGCACTGCGCATCCACGATAATTATCATAAGTAATTACATTAAAAATATCAATGGAAAATTGAATTCATTAGTATGAATTATTTGAATATTCCCATTGATGTTTAGAAGTGAAAATGATTACTCACTTTTAAAATATATGAATCCTATGTGTGTCTTGGATTTCAGTGCTAGTCGCTGTCCATCTCTGCTTATTCTACTTGATAAAGAGTAGTTATCCTTTAAAAATCACAAATCGATGGGAAGGTCATAGCACAGTGAGAACTATCACACCTCTGGCACAAATAAAGCCTACCTACATCAAATAGACTTGTGTTGAAACAAAAGTTTAAATCAGTTATTAAAAAAATGCACTACGCAGAAAATGTCATTATCATGCAAAAAAAAATAATGTCTATGCATCACCGAAAGGCTAAAGATACATACAAATGATTGCGTCACATCCTACTTTATTTATTAATTTAAAAGTGCGTGACGACACATACTTAGGGAAGGATAATTTTGATCTTCATGTGAGTGTGTCTGAACATGTATCCAAATAGTTACAAAGATAAATTAAGTCAAATGACCCACTAAGAGTAGATATTAAACATTCAACGTCCTTTATTTTCAATAACAATTGAAACAAGGGATAAGATTGATCATAACGTGGCTTTCGTGTTGTACAGAAGTGTTCGAGGGCGTTTACTAAGGTTTATTGAGGCCTTAGCCATATGAAAAACAAAGCCCATTTATATATTCATAAACAGTTCGTTCTCACCTTAAATATATCCTGGTAATATTATTTCATCATCCGGCTTGGAGGGTTTCACATTGTTCATATTATTTCCTTTTAATTTCTATTTGTTTAGTTGACCATTTATCTTTTAATATATAAATGTTGTTAATAAGTATATGTGTGATAAGATTGCTTGAAATGTATTGCACTAATATATCACATAGTTCAGATAATCTTCGTTTACTTATTACTCTATCGAAAACCAATGAACAGTAATAATATTTAAGAATTTATCGGGGTTATGTTAAACTGATTATTGTCTCTTTATGAAGTTATAATTTTAGTTTAAGTTTCTTAAATGCTACTACTTCGACAAACCAAAATAAAAACTGTATTGTCTGCTGGTCGACTATTTATCAGCGGATCATGTTGAAGGACTATCAAACATTGATGATTTACTTGGTATCAACTTTATTCCAAAATGTTGCACTGTATAGACCCTTCGCATCTTTCAGTTTGAAATTCTACTGCACCTGCTTCGCAATGTGAGCATGTGCTCTTCTCGCTTTTCTTTCAGTATATGGACTTTGAAGGGTACATAAAAATTAGTAAATGTAATTGGAGTTACTCAGAAACGTGTAGCAATTTGTCTCATGTAAAATGATCAGTCTTGTTACTGGATAAATAACCTTGATTGCAGCACTCAATTATTTAAGAAATTTTATCTCTTTCTAAATGAAAAGACAAGAAACTGATTTTATCCCCGTTTTATCATAAGTTCGTAAATTTCATGGTAAATTTCATTGATTAAGCATCTTTATTTAGGCAGGTATTAATTAAAATAATTTCTGATTCACTTTAAAAGAGATAAAAGGAAGGAAATAATTAACCAGGCAACAAAGGCTGAGATGAAGATTACATAATCTTAAGAACACATCCAACGATACGATTATTAATTTAATTCATTTACTAAGTACACATTCCTCTATACAACTTTCTGTAACATTGCTTTTGTATAAGTTGATAATATCGGAGGGGATTTTGTGAATATTATCATCCACGATCCTGGATACAGATTATTGAGGAGTCCCAAAATAAAATGAAACGGCCGTCCAGCAATTGTAGATTCCCGATAGTGATCTTGTAGTGAACATAACACAAGAGGGGGACAATCGAATGGATTTGACACAAAATTACAAAACTTGTTAATAAAATCTGACAATCATGTAGTAAATGCTTAATTTGCAAAATGTCCATCAATTGTCTCAAAATAACTCAGACTTCCTTTGTTTTTGCATTTTCATACAAATCGCATTCTTTTTCCATTCTTTACTGTTCGATACTCTTGTCTCTCTGCTTCTAGACATTCTGTTCACGACTGACGTCATATACTACTTATGTCGATATAAGTAGTACACACCACAGTCCATTAATATTATAACAAGGATATAAATTGTTTTTTGATTATGATTTTCGATCAGTATTCTTGAAATTAACGAGTTCCTTACAGTCTGATGAATTTTAATTTAAACTAATTTGTTTCCTTTTATTTATTATTAGTATGGGGGTTTGTGGAGATTGTAATAATTTCATAGGTGATTTCACAAGTTAATCTAAACTAAACCATTATTGAAAATTTAGTAGTTTAGACGGGCTCATGAATTGAATTGTGTAATTTTTTTAAAATTTATGTTTGCTTTATTTACTATGGTAGTTTAACTGTGAAATTTGTATTGTCATCTGTGCAAAACTTCTTAATTTAAAATGTTGTTCTGTGTTTTAAATATACAACAAACATAATTGGGAAATATTGGAGAAAAACATTCAAATGGTTTTAGTATTACTCTGGGGAATTGTAAAATTTGAGAAAATTAAAAACGTTTGGAATAAATTGTATTTTTGTTTGTTTGTCTTACTTCTTAACTGTTTGAGATAATTAGAGCTTACACCATTGTCCACCGTCGTCATCATTGATTTACTATCTCCTTCGCGAGGAGTAACAGGCATAAGTAAGTAAGTAACTGAACCAGTTAAACATTACTGGTCACGGCTTCTCACTAGAACTTCAGGAAATACCTCTTGGAGACAGTCACTAGAATTTAATTTATTTGTATGATTTGAAAAAATGAATACGTTTTAACATGTGATTTAGCTGATTTGACTTAATTAACTCACGCTGTATCAAATAATCATATGTGATACATAACTATATCAGTTTGATTATCACCTGTTAGTGTGAATTCTTTATATCTTGACAACATACTAGAAGTTTCGGTACAAGAAAACTGATGTGGTTGAGATTCAAGATTTTTGAATGATAATCAGAGAATTGGAAAGAAGTGACTTACTACTATAATCAGAAATTACGATTTTGTTGATTTTTTAGAAATCATTTTAGATATAGTAAATATGTTCTGCAATTGATATCTCTGATAACACTGGCTGTTAAAGGAAAGATCTTTTATAAAACTCCAGATTTGATCCAAAACAACTGTATATAGTAAGGTACGATCATGAAATTCAGTTTGTGTACCTTTATAAGAAACCTGATTTTGGATGGTCATCTATTTAAAGTTGATGAGTTATGTAAATCACAAATCGAATAATTCCCATAAGCCTTCTGTGTTGATAATATTAAATCCCATAACTTAGAAGTAAATGTAAAATAAATTCAACTAAGTATATCTTTAGTCGATCTTACCTAATCTCTTCAAAGATAATAGAATGACTTTCATTTAAAAACCTTGGACAAGTATTTCACACATCTAAACAATGCTCATATCAACTATTAATAAATTCGTGAATTCATAACATCTTCCATTTTGTCTACAAACTCAGACATCATACTGGTCACTCACATGAAATTGCTCATTTCACGTTTCAGTAAATTGGGATTAAGCATACGTAACAAATGTTTCGATCATCCAGGCCAGTGAAAGTTTACAGCCTCAATAACAAAATCACTATTTTTAACTTATCATTCTATATGTTAATTTCTGTAATTCACCTAAACAATTATTCCTCTCTTTATACTCATAAATTTTAGCTATAACTGTAACTGGTCCAAATCTTGTATTTTACGGTACCCCATTAGAATTAATATGTCGTGCTAGTTTTCCATCATCTGAAGCTAAACTTGATCCAACAATTTCATTAGAATGGTATCATCGTGGTGTACGTCGATTATCTCATCCATTTAGATCAGGTGGTGTATATATTACAATGCAATGGTTAGATTCACATTTATTAGAAAGTAGATTATATATAGCATGGGTAAGTGAAGCTGAAGCTGGTCAATGGATATGTTTAGAAAGATCAAATCCAATTAAAAATATAAATTATACAAAATTATCATCATCATCATTATCAATGTCAAATTATCATAATGTTCAAATGAATGAATTTAATAAACAATCATTTCCATTATATCATAATACATCTATAATATATAATCCATCAAATATTGATTTGGTTTATGATAAGATCTATATAGAAATTATAGGTAAGAAGAAATTATATTTTCTTAAAAAATTTATCATTTTTGTTTGTTTAATTATTTACCAATAAAATAATCTAATTAAATTCAATGTTATTGAATGAATATATTTAAACAATTAATACATTATAACCAAAGATGGATAGTGGCTAGCAGTGGAATCCAGGACACGCGTTTCGTCCTATTTGGGACTCGTCAACTGGATGTACTTACATCGCAGAGTTAATGTTCACTCCGGGACTTTAATTCAGTACCGTTCGCTCCAAGCAGGTGGCTATCAGGACTCAGTAGCTAAGTGGATAATACAATGGTATTTGAAACGAACGATATTCGGTTCTAGCCATAGAGTGAACATTAACTCTAGGATGCAAGTACATTTAGCTGACGAGTCCCAAGCGGGACGATACGCGCGTCCTGCATTCCATTCCTAGCCATTATCCATCTTTGCTTAAAAAGCTTATGTCTTAAGGCTATATCGAGGCAGTCCGGACAAGATGCAAATATTGCCAACAAGAGACTGTTCAATTTCAGTCCTAAATAACAATGGAAAGATACAAGTAAAACAACACAAAGTGAATCTAATCAATGTTTTGTTCAAAGTTCTTTAATATCTTTGTATTCATCGTTGGAAGAACAACAATAATGAGAATTAAATAATGATCCTTATAGTCTTTAGGAGTATCATGATTCATAAATAACACAGATGAAATTATGTGACAATTCGATATGTATCCAACGACTTGTTGTCATCGATAGGTTTTATGAACTGTTAAAAGTTAATATTATCATATTTCATCAATTATCAAAGACATTCCATTTAACCATCGAATTAGCTACAGAGAACTGAAGAAGACTGAATTGATTAACTTTTAGAACAACATATATAATCGAACAATATTGTTCTTGATTAGATCCTCTTCAGGCTTTACACTAATAAACAGTAATATTTATATACAAAATTATTAAACCAATTAAGGCAGTTTATGAGTCAATGATAACAATGGAATAGATTACATAAATAAACATAATAAGTGAAAAGTACAAAGTGGTAGTATAATGACACGTGTAGTAGTTGTGGTAAGAATAATAAAGGCATGAATCAATGTTACATAATGGGAAATAGGTCAATGATCAGAAAAATATAGACACTGAAATAACGTTCATAGAAAGATTATAAGATTACGTAATAAGAAGTGCTCAGATAATTGAACCGTGAAACGTATATTTGAGGGAAAACAAAGCAAACTGGTGGGAGGGGGTGAAGAAAAATAAACGAAGAGAGTATGTAAAATAATAATAAATAAAATCATTTATTAGAGCCAAGGGAAAGATAAGGGTGTTACAAATTTCTTATGAACACAAAGACTTGGATTGTTGGCTTCTGCTATGTGTGAGAGACGAGATCGAACACCATAAGTAAAACTAGTAGGAATACTATAAATAACTTTAAATGACTTATTTCTATCTACTACATGACCGCTATCAATCAAGTGTGATAGTACTGATCTGTGTATTGTCTTAACAGTACCTTTTCCTAACCACGAACGGAGGTGTTCACTAACTCTTTAGTTCAGTTGTCTGGTAGTGCGCCCAATATAGCTTTCTCCAAAAGAGCAGCTAAATACGTAGATACAAATAGAAGTGGCATAACTAGGTAATTGATCCTTTATTTGAGGAATCACCATAGATCGGATCAAGTATGGTAGACAGAGGTTGGATGCATTAAGTGTTCTGTTCATTGTTCTAGTCTATCACCTAGTACATCACCGGCTACATCTCCATTGAAATGCAGCTTCAGGAAGAGAGCTTTCTTACTAACCGGAGATATAGCTATTTTTTGTATGTTACACGCAAGTGTTTCTTCAGGAGACCTTGTGGATAACCTATTTCACTCAAGATTTTATGCATGAGCTCTAATTTTTTGTTAATTGTATCGACTGTTCATATCTTTCTAGCTCTATTTGCCATACATTTACCTAACTTTCTCTAATAATAAAGGGGTACAAAGTTTAAGAAATGTGTGCACTGATTTAATGAGGAACATTTCTTATACACACTTCTACTGATAGAACCATTTTCTTTTCTGTTTATCATAACGTCAAATCGGTAAAACATATAATGTCTCATTTTAAATCTTAACTTATTAGGTGATTTAATTATGATACACATAAAATGTATATTCTTGATTCATTATCATATCCCAGAAAATGTATTGAGTAAATCTATGGCTAAATGGTTAAAACATTCAAATCCAAAGTTCTAAATGTACTCTACCTACTTTGATTTAGGCGAATGAATTTATTATTAATCCTTCAGTCAGTCAGTCAGTAACAACGTAGAACTTCGTGCGTACATACGTACGTACATCAGTTCAAGTTGCCATACCACATTAGCACAGAGATGCAGTTGTCGATTCAAATCCTTACATATAGATTATTGCTCATATTGAAGTTCCTATTGAATAAGTCATTTCCATTTTTTATTTTCTACAATTTTTAACCAATTCAAGTAATAATTTATCATTACCATTATTATTATTACGTAATTTTTCTTCTCCCCATAAATTATCATATTGTCATATAGTTTAATACAGATAAATCATTAAATGTTACAATTACGTGATTTTTTTGTTGTTGATAGAATTAAATCATTAAAGAATGACTTATCTTCATTATAAGTAGTATATAATTGTAAGAAATAATTTTCATTGTCAATAGTATAAAATTTCAAACCAAAAAAACAATTTATTATTTAATGACAGTTTGCACAGTTACTGTAATTTCCATCATTATTAATTGTGTCAGTTACATATTCAAATCTAAACTAATGGTGAGTTAATTCAATATGAGAAATTTTAGATACTTTACAGAACATAAAATAGTTCATGATTAATATTATCACGAATATAGAAAGGTATTATGAATAATTAAACTATAAGCTAAGATGAATGATATTTAGCAGTGGAATTCAGGATGCACGTTTGGTTATATTCGGGACTTGTTAGCTTGATGTATCTACTTACCTATCTTTGTTTATAAAACTTGTGATTTAAGAAAATATCAAGGCAGTCTGTACAGGATACACATATGCCAATACGAGACTGATCAATTTCAGTCCTAAACAACAATGGGAAGATAGAAGTAAACAATTCCAATGAATTAAAATATAAACTACTCATTAAAATTACCTCGAAACAAATGTTTGTTTATACTGACTCAAAGTTATCTAAAAATTCGTAAACATGTAGTATTGTTACTAGTTATATAAGCTAAAATATTTAATTTAAAAATGATTTTAGAGAAGATTAGTCGTTCTACATGTTTAAAAACATTTCTTTCATCTCATAGACATACCAGACACAACGCTTTCTGTACAAATGACAACGCAAAGTACAATATTTACCGGTAAGTTATACACAAGCTTATTCAGCATGACAAGTCTTATGTGTATAACTAAAACAAAACATCAGGATAATCATTTACTTTAAATGTAAATAAAATTTCAGTTCTATTCAACGTAGATTCAAATGTCATATCACACTAAACTAAGTCTTAAAAATTCTATGATTAAAAAAGACATTAATTTGCATATGAATATTGTATTCAAATTCTACTACTTCAAACACCTTTTTGGGGAAGAGACATAAATTGTGTAAACCATAAAAATAATAACCATTTTAAGACCAATTCTGAAATTATTATTGCATTATCGATTATTGGTGAATAAATAAAAAATGGATAGAATTCAGTGAGGAAAATTCTCATTTCAATGAAATCATTTCCTTTAACGGTATATTCATATTTATAGTTGTTTGACAGGTAATCTAAGATCTATTGGAAGGCAGAAGAGATTGTGTCATAATGTGATCCAAGATCTTACATATCAAAAAGAGGTTGTATAATAAACAAGGTTGTAAATAATTTGTTGGTCGGAAATATGAGGGGTAATTGTCCACTTGACAAATATGATGCAAAGGAACAAACTTAAAGCCCATAAATTTACATGCTATTTTGAACAAAGTATCTCAGAACATTACTTGACAAGGCTTTTCAATGAGGAACGCAAACTTGTCGTTAGTTCGGTACAGGTGTATCTGATAGACTTCAAACATGTTTCTGCAAAGGAGGTGATTTTTCAGGATAATCAACACAGTCAAAAGAATTGAATCAATGAGAAGTTAAATCAGAACCTTATGTACTGATGAGACGTTGGCGATCCATCGATTCAACCCTGAACTATCAATGTATCAACAATAAGTTCAACATCTCATTCTTTTCTAGCTATAATTCCCTCATGGATTATCTGTTTGTTTGTTCTTATTACTACTTTGTGTTTTTAAACTGTAGTCAGTTATTATTAATCGATTAATCGATTGTTATCATGACTATTACGTTTGTCCCTTTGGATCGTATCTGTCGAGTGGACAATTATCTCACATATCTTTGACCAACAAATTATTTACAACACTGATTATTACACAACCTATTTTTGTTATTTAAAATCTAGGATCACTTTACGACACAACCTCTTTTATCTTTCCATAGAAATTATATTATTTGTCAAACAACTATAAATACGAATATACCATTAAAGGAAGGGATTTCGTCGAATCGTGAACTTTCTTCACTGCATTCTCTAGAATTGTGATTGGTGAATGATAAAATTCAAAATAAATGAATAGCATAGTTGATAAATAAACATTCAAAAGGTTTTTGTGGATATTATAGTAGTTTTATAGTTGAGATCTGGAGTCAATTGAAGCTAGACCACAATGGAAAACCTGGAGGCACCGGATGGCCCTTTCATCCTAGAATGGGTTTCCTCAGAAGTGCGTATCCACTGTTCCACCCCGCGATATTCGAACCTGAGACCTATCAGCCTCGCACACGAACACTTAACCTCTACACCATTAAGCCGGCTGGTATCCAACGGTGTTAATATCTAACTTCAACTAATCCACGAAATTGCGTCACCGTCCACTATTGTCTTCAGTGAGTTACTATCTTACAACAGACTCGGTTGAACTCCTCTGGTCACTGCTTATTACTTGAACTCCAGGAAATACCTCTTGAAGTCAGTCAATAGTAAGCATATATTGATTAGTATCAGAAATTGGGACCGTGTTTGCGAGCTGCTGAGGAGTCCCACAATAGGACGAAATGGCCGTTCAGTGCTTCTAAATTTTCCATGGTGGTCTATCTTCAAATGACTCATGATCTTAACTATTGAAACATATATTTATATAAAAATATAATATGTAGACAAAGAGCGAGGAAGAGAGAGAGGGAGACTCTTTACAACATTGTCTTTCTTTATCTAGAATGCATACAATTTTATTGGTATGTAATGATATGAAATTAATGCATGACATTTAGAATATTTGTTGAAGCATGATGTTTACTTATTTTTTCTTATATTGATTTTTTATGAGATAATATTTTGAAAGTTTTCTTTTCTTTGTTTGTTTTTTTGTTTTCCACTGTATTTATTTCATTGATAAATGAATAATATACATATTTAAATCTATTATAAATTGGCGACTAATATCTGTCAAACTATACGTTTACATTATGATGAATGTTTAGATAAATGAATTTTGTTGTTTAATTATATAAATAAGTTTATGAAGGTAAATTGAATTTAAAGATGGTTATTATCGAATATTGTTGAATAATTATTATTCATCAGTTGTCAACCATGAAACATTCATAGCTTATAAAGAGCAATAATAATTATTTTCAATGGTTAAGATCATTAGTCAGTTGAAGCTATACCATAATGGAAAATCTGGAAGCACTAGACGGCCGTTTCGTCCTATTGTGGGACTACCCAGCAGTGCACATCCACGACCTAGCCCCCTGCGAGATTCGAACCCAGGACCTACTAGTTTCGCGCGCGAGCACTTATTCTATCATTCATAATGTCATACTGAAAGTGAGGCAGTTTATAAAAACTATTTATAATTAATGAACATTTTCGTCATGAATAGATGTCAACTACTGTGGTTCTTTTTTTTTCTTTTCAAGATACATTATTAATTCACTTGTAAAATGATTTAATTCTCACATAACTATTAAAATTTAATTTCAGTTCCAACAGTTTTATCTTCATCATCTCAACCAAATGGATTATTGTCATCATCATCATCATCATCATCATCATCATCTTCAACATCAACATCAACATCCCTATCATCATCTTTATCATCAATAGCAAAATCATCTTCAACATTATTCTCATCTAGTTTTAATCGAAAGTTTTCTAAATCAAATACAAATGGTATATCATCTAAACATTTAAATAATAAACCTGAAAAATTATCATTTATAGAACGATTAATTAGATCAATGAATCATTGTACAAGATTAAAAATCAATAAACAAATATTATTGATTTTCAGTATTTTCAATAGTTTATTACTTATAAAATCTTTCATATCGATTAATATTCTATAAATCAATAAATATGATTAGGTATTTATTTATACTTGAAAACAAATTCATGTATTATTATAAACAATCAATATTATTGAGAAATTTATTGACTTTTTTTAAAAAAATTATTTTTTGGCGCATTTATAGATTTAAAGTATTTTTTTGTTTGTTTTTCCTCTTTTCAACATTTTTCTTTGATCAAATTATTCTCTCATTTATTATTATGATTAAAAAAGTGATTTAAATGAATGTAAATTTATTGTTGTATAGAAAAGAAAATATATTTATAAGTAGTATTTTAATACATTTGATCAAAAATCTTGATGGAGTTTTGTTCTCTTATCAAACGATCCAGCGCAGAGAACAAAACTTCATTAAAATCATCTACATAAGCTATAAATCTTCTCTATCATCTCAAGATCAAATATCCGTATAATTTTAGTAATGATTAAATGATAAGAAAGATTAATATAACTGAATATTGACTCATATTTGAATCTTATTTAGGAATCAGTAGATGAATTCATTTGTATGTTTATGTTATTGTTCATAAGTTTAGCCGGTAAAAGTTTATACCATTTGTGTTTGTCTATCTCTTTAACTTGTTATTAGTATGGTATTTGATGCGAAAAATTCTTCTAGAATCTTACTTTAAGAAAAATCTTGTTAAATATCTTCAAGTAAGTGATATGGATTATGTATAAAAACAAACTGAAATGAATTGTCCAGAATAGAGCGGTCTATGCTCCTTCATAAAAGGTAACAGATACACTATGAAAGCAGCTATTAAGACAGTACATTATAACTTACATACTCATGTTACCAATCGTGGAAAAGCATAGGCCACTCACCAGCACTCTCTATCCAACCCTGTCCTGGGCCATTCTTTTTAACATCGTCTTCCAATTCTCCATTCGGTGTGTTCTTCGTTCTTCTTTTTTTTTCATTCCCCTAAAGGATTACATGTTAGGAAATCCTGAGAAAACACCAACTAGATTAATTACATTATTAGTAGATGAATAATGATTGTTAGATATGCTAAATATTCAAATTTTTGTTCGGTAAACTTTCAGTGGAATTTCGATACAATAATTAATACACTGTAAATTTAGTGCAACTAATTTCTCTGAAGTTTTATGCATAATTATTCACTCTTATTAAAGTTAGTTTACTTGATTTTCAATACATTCTTCATCCTTTCAGTTGGTTCATTGTGATTTCGGGCTCTTTCTGTCATTGATATACAGTATAGAAATTAGCAAATGTATACATTAGTTCATCAAATCAGTACAGCACGGTGAGAATATTAACACAAATTCTAGAGTAGTAGAATTAGCAACATTATCCGGGATGATAGAAAGACTAGATGTAAAACATTTGATTAGAGTAAAGGAATGAATTCGTGTAATAGTGCATTTTAGGATCATTTTAAAAAATCAAGATCTGTAAGTGAATGAACAATGAATTAACCAAAGTCTCTGAGCCTTTGGATGAGATAACCACCGAAAACCCAAAGCAGTATTATCAGCATATCCGCACTCTTCAGTCTTGATTTGAATTTCTTTGACTTTCTTCCAGCCTTCTCTTATATCAAGCAAACAATGAGCTTCGAGGCAAATGGCTGTTGAAAGTAAGTAATAAATATCCCAATCATTTCAGCTGAAGAATTTTGAATACTGAATTAACTGATTTGACCTCACTACCTAGTACACTAATTCTGACCCAAAGATTTCTCACTCGGTAATTCTGATATATTCAACCAACATTTCAGAAACATCTTTGATCAAATACTAGTATCTTCCAACTTTTAAAGCCGAAATTTCACATCTATAAAGTAAAACAGAAGAAACTGTCGTGTGGTACAAGAAGGCACAAAATACGTCTACGCCACACAGACCTTATTTGGTATGTGTGAGGGCTGTGGTACTACCCGGGTGCCCAAACCGAAGCAGGTGGTTTTCTTAGGGGGCCACACCCCGAGCCTTTGACCTAAAGATCTGACCCACAAGGCAGTGGAGCATCGTAAGGAGATGCAGTCCCATGGTACATACGCCATTTGTTCCTTCAGGATACTGGAGCCCATGTGCACCATTGGTTTGGGACCATTAAGACAGTGATCATTTCAAAGCTGTGAACCCCTAAAAATAAGCCATATTTAAGACGCTAAATTTTGTAATGACTGCGATCTTCCAATCGGTTCAATCACAAGAACTATTAACAGCATCATATAAACTATTATTATCTTGTGTTGTGATGATGACTACTGTCATAGTTATTCCCAGTATCAGTCAAAATCATTAATTAATAGCACCGGTTATAATAAAACCAACTAACTAGTGATAATAAAACAATATTTGTAATAATCGTGAAAAAACAGCCCATTCTCTGAACGACCGTAAACAAAATTAGATGATTAAGTATAGCTTTTTCTTTCCTTTAAAGCTAGAAACAATCCTACCATTAGTGATCGCAACAACACCAACTACAAGTTATAAAACTACTATCACAAATCACAACACAACGCACACCTTAAACATTAATCTGATAGCCTCTTTTTTTCACGATCAACAAACCAGTTTACAACATGCTTGCACCGTAAAGGAGGTTGTTGATCATCATTAGATGGATAAAGAAGTTTGAAGAAACGATGATAATTACTCAACGACCACGCTGACTGGAGTTTTAAACAAATGAAACACATGGGTTAATTTTGTGAGTTGGACGTAAACCAGCCATGATAGTATTGATGACTAAAATATTGAGAGTGAAGATATCTGTAGGCAGTAAATTCTAGCAGCCTACTAACACTTAAGTCTTCTTTATGAAGACGAAGCAACTGACTTTGAGATTGATGAAATTCTTCAAAATCACCAGCTTCCAAGGCTACAACTGCATGTGCTTCATAAACCAATACTGCAAAATTATCTTCGATACCTTGTACAGTTAAGTCTTGACGTCAAGACTTACTGACACTCAAATTTCGAATGAATAGTTTGGTTTACAGTCTTACCAGTCGTGGGCCTAGTAATCTTATATATATATTTAATTTATGTACGTATTCCGGTGTAATTGGTATTATCCTTGCAACCTGTCAGTTTCTAACCCGTTGGAAATGTCCCTTTTGAGATAACCTGTTATATATTCCAAGGACCTTTGAAGTAAATTTATGGGAGTGCTACTTACCAAGTCTTATTTAATACTACATCCTCTTTTGAATTTTTGTTTCCTGACAACTGATTCGCTTATTTCTAAGATTCTCTCGACTCCCCGAAACGACTCATGTATGTTTATTCTTTTCACTACGCATATATCTCTACAATACTTATACCCCTGAACCACAGTAGCATCTGCAAATGTTGCAGCAAGTGTTATTGGTGCTTTTGTAATCCGATTCGCAACAATTATCATAATTTGCCTTAGTCTCGAAACAGATCGACCGAAAGCAGACTTCTTTCTCCAGCATATATTACATTGAAAGATAACATCACCACGGCAGTCTGCACGATATCCACAAGTTATTTGATTACCACAATCACAAATAAAGGAACTTCTTAGTAGTTCCATTTGTTGTAGCCGCTCAATTGTATTACCTTTTGTAAAATCCGCTGTGAATCAATCGTTGGTAAGTATTAGGTACTGAAATTGACCCTATGACCTTGAAGTCCCACAAACGCTTTGCCGGTTGTTCGAATTTATACCATAATCAATAAACAGCATTTAAAAAGTGACGAATAAGGTATAAAAATCTAGCTAGTTTTTTATTATGATCAGGAGTAGATAATTTTATTATCGCATTTCTTATTAACAATAATTTTCAGTCAGTATAGAACAAAGAGAGGAAATAAGAAGACAAACAGACAAATAGCATTTAAGATTCTCCCAAGTGGGAAATACGACATGAAGGTGATAAGAGCGCTTGTGGCGCGAAAACAAAGAAATACAAATTTTCTAAATAAAATTACAAAATTAGGTCCTTCTGCAAATGAGTTCTGGGGATCTAACGTCCCCAACATATACTCATACGTGCGTAATCAACGCTTTATAATTTGGATAGTATAAGATAATTCATCTATATACATTCAAATTTATGTTGATTCTAAAGAATCTCATCAATGAATTAAAACTTTGCATGGAATCATTTGAAACAACTGGATTTTATTATTTACTTGAGAAAAATAGAAGTATTTGGTAATACAAAGTATTATTCGTATTTTCATGAATATAGAAATAAACATTATACTTTACAGTGATTCAACTTTCAAGATAATTCCTTGTTTATTTTTTAGAATTCTATTCTTCTATTACAGTCAGAACATATCAACATCATAACTAACCAGATATTGTATAAGTGTTAAATATACACTTTACAGATTGTTCAGTTAAGGTAATTAATTTAATGGTAGCCAACAGGAATTATTCATTTTTGTTAAATAATTCAATTCATTTGAAAAAAATCATTTCACTTCCCTCTCTTCACTTCTCTTCCCTTCTCTTCGTATCTCTGATTATCTGTCCACACCAATGTGTGTACAAAATATACATATACATATACTTAGTTAATTCCGTTATTCACCAACATAGATGTAAAGTAATATAAAAGCTGTACACACATTTTTTTCGACGCATACACTGAGGCTCAATTATTTAGTTAGTTATTTCGATTGACTGTGTAATCAGTAATTTTCATTCGTAATTATAACCTACCCGACCTTAACTTGTGAGGTTAAATTTGTAATCAATACATATGCATTATTATTAGGAGCAAATTCAGCAAAACAAGAACAGTATATTTATTGCTGAAAAACATCTAGAACTCAAAACAACTGTCAACCAACACCAAGGTCAGAATTTTCAATACAAATGTCAAAACAGTTCTACTGTATGGGGCGGAAACCTGGACAACTAATAAGACATGATCCAGAAGATACAAGTGTTTATTAACTGCTGTCTTCGCAAGATACTTCGGATCCGTTGGCCAGACACTATCAGCAACAATCTATTGTGGGAGAGAACAAACCAGATCCCAGTGGAGGAAGAAATCTCGAAGAAGTGCTGGAAGTGGATAGGACACATATTGAGGAAAACAACCAATTCCGTCACAAGGCAAAAACTCACTTGAAATCCTCAAGGCCAAAGGAAAAGAGGAAGACCAAAGAACACATCACGCTGAGAAATAAAGACAAACATGAGAAAAATGAACAACAATTGAACAGAATTGGAAAGGATGGTGGAGGACAGTGTGGGTTGGAATATGCTGGTCGGTGGCCTATGTTTCATTGGGAGTAACAGGCGCAAGTATGTAAGTATTAAGAGCAAAATATATTATCAGACTTTTCCTTCTAACGATTTTCTATCCACTTATTAACTTTGTCTCAATTTCATTAATCAATCTTTTATATACCACTTGCATGGCTAAACTGATTATTCACACACTTGTTAGTAAGTAATTTTTCAAGGATTGTTTGGGGATGTGGCGACTATTGAATCTTGTTGAGCTTAGAAACCGATCACAAGCTCACTTAGTGTCAAGAGGAAATTTCCAGAATTTTAGTAAGATACTCTGACCAGCGTATTTTAAGGATGTTGCGTGTGATCCACTTTAGAGAATGGAAGTTGGTGACGTATTATTGTGGAGTGATCGGAGTTAGACATGCACACCATTAACAACCAACTCAGT